AAAAAAGCACCAAAACGACTATGAAAAAAAACAGAGAGAATAGATAAATAAGTGATAATAATAAAAGTTTGATTTTGTTGCTCTCTTTATCTTTTCAGGAGAAAATTTCAAATGTTTGTTAGCTTAGTTGATAGAATTCATTATCTTTTTTTCTTTCTATTATCTCAATAGAGATAGTGTTGATTTTAGTATCTATAGTTGGTAGGATACTTTTATTATGAATGTGTAGTATGTGGTATTCAAATTTATGGAATACAAAACATAAATTTAATATGGCATCAGAGTGGAATGATCCCAAAATAGATGAGTTGAGGATGAATAACACCTTCGACAACAAGTCCTATTGTACATGGCTGCTAATGACAATATACACAATAACAAATGGGTTCTTGATAGTGGTGTTTCTCACCACATGAATCGTTTATTCTCTCTATTGAAAGGGGTGAGAACACTTAGGAGGACATTCCATATTGTTGTTCCTAAAGGAGACACTATGCTAGTGGAGAAGATAGGGATGATTAACCTAAATGGCTGTATCCAGTTGCATAGTGTTTTGTTTGTTCTCGACTTTAGTTGAAACCTGATTTCTATACATGGATTAACAAATGACTTGAAATGCACTATAAGTTATTATATGGATTAGTGTGATATATGACTTATCCACAAGGTGGATGATTAGATCGAGTGGTTTGTGTAATGGGGTTTATGTGTTCAAGGGAGTTGCAACATGAACCTCCTTGTCAGCAACAAAAGGTGACACAACAATCCTTTGGCTTATTAGAATGGGGCATCCTTCAACTCAAGTCTTGTAGAGTCTTTTACATTTACTTAACACTAGTTTCAATTTGAATAAATTTGATTGTTGTGATACTTGTCATCGATCCAAGCAAGGTAGACTTTATTTTACTTTAAATAACAATAAAGTTGAAGAGCCTTTTGATCTTATAAATTGTAATTTATGGGGAAGATATCATATGACCTCACGTAATGGTTCACATTAATTTCTTACTATCGTCGATGATTTCACTCGTGGGACATGGGTGTACCCAATGAAAGAAAAGACTGAAACAACTAGTCTTTTCTTGAATTTTTGTAACATGATAACAACATAATTCAATAGGAGAGATATAAGAATACAAAGTGATAATGACACAAAGTTTGTCAATCGTTCCTTCTAAAGATTTGTCCAACAAAAGGGAATTATCCACGAGACCTCCTATGTAGGGACACCCAATTAAAATGGTCGGGTGGAGAGAAAGCACAAGCACATCTTTAATATAGCAAGAGCCTTGATGTTCCAAGCTAATATTCTAATTTCCTTTTAGGGAGAATGCATACTAGTTGTTGCCTACATTATCAATAGAACGCTTACCACAACCAATAATAGGGTCACTTCCTATGAGAGGTTGTTCGGGAAGTCACCTTCTTATAATCAATTAGTGGTTTTTGGTTGTCTGTGTTATGTACGAACCACACTAAAACCATGAGATAAATTTGATTCTAGAGCTAAGCATTGCAAGTTTGTTGGTTATCCTAAAGGACAAAAGGGTTGGAAGAAGGTTTATAATTTTAAAGACACACAAATGTTATGTGTCCCATGATGTAGTTTTTTATGAACATGTTTTCCCTTTCATTGCACAAGAAAAAAAAAATCAACATATTATCCACAAGAAGCTACAATTAAATTTTAGGATACGTCCCATTACATTGATGAGCAAGACTCTTCGCCAAAAGGTGATGAGGAAGAAGTTATTAACATAGCTGAAATAGAGGATGTTCAAAATGAAGGGGATAGTAACAAGACTCCAGAAATAGTGAAACTTACACCACGAGCAAGACAACCATAAATTTATCTTAAATATTATTATTGACAGTTCATTGTTACTAACTCCACATGAAAATCATTTGCTCTATCAGCCTCTTCAGGTTTCATTTATCCCATCTCAAATTATATAACATATGATAGTTTTTCTAGCAAACATCAAGCCTTCCTTGCAACTATTGCATCCCATGAGGAGCCACGATCATAATCAAAAGCAATGAAAAAGGTAGAGTGGTGTAAGGCAATGATGCAAGAATTGAAAGCCATAGAAGAATTTCCCCTATAAACCAAAAATCAATGTTAGGATATTTGATGAAGTTGGGAATTTCCCCGATATCATGGAAATTGAAGAAGCAAACAACAATTTCTAGATCATTTGGGTTGGCTAAGTATCATGTTATGGTTCATGCCACTAGTGAAGTTATATGGTTGAGAGGCTTGTTGAAATGTCTTCAAATTAACTGCAATACTCCTACAGTTTTACATGTTGACAATCAGTCAACTTATCACCTTGTAGCAAATCCAGTTATACATATAAGGACTAAATGTATAGAAGTTGATTGTCATTTCATTCATAAGCACATACAAGGAGGGTCAATAGCAACTACTTACGTACTTACTATACAAAACAACAAGAATTTGACATTTTCACCAAATGTTTAGGCACCAAGCCATTTTAGGAATTATCGTCCAAGTTGGTTGCTCATAACCTTCACACTCCAACTTGAGGGAGAGTAATAAACAAATAAATAAGTGATAATAACATAAGTTTAATTCTACAGTTATCTTTCTCTTCGTAAGAGGATATTTCAAATGTTTATTAGCTTAATTGATAGAATAAATTATCTTTTTGTTTCTATTATTTCAGATAGTGTTTATTTTAATATCTAGTTGATAGGATCCTTTTATTATAAATAAGTGTATGTGGTATTTAATATGAAACAAAAATTTAATAAAAGCTTTTATTAAAAATTAAAATAAAGTTATATGAGAGAATACGTCCATATATATTTTTCAGTGAAAACTTTCTATTTTTATTCCTCATTTAGTGTATTAAGAGTACTTGTTTGCATTTTTCCGGCACCAGGGAGTTTGATCATTTGTAATGATGAGAAATTTTGAACTAGTACAGAACAAAAATTGACAATAGTTTTTATTAAAAGTCATGGAATATAACTTGTTTCATGTTTTTTTTATGTATCACCGGATTTCCTTTGTAACGTTCTCAGATCGGATATAACTTGCATTTCCTTCCCTAGAGCTTTCTTGGTTGAATAACATTGCAAATCATCAACAACAAAAATAAATAAATAAATAAATGAAGGTAGACTCAATAACTTGTTTCATGTTTTTTTTTTATGTATCTTATGGTTCACTCAATATTGAAGGTAGACTTTTGTTACAATCGGAAGAATCCCTCCAATAGAATGTTACTCTAAGTATGCTTGCAATTGAACACTCAAGAGCATTGTTTATGGAAAATAGACTTTTTGTTAGAATTGGAAGAAAGATAATTGTCATTTTTATTTTTATTGTGAGTACAACTACAAGGTAGAACTTAATTGGACAAGCTAGAGTTAAACATATCATATGAAATTCCATAAAATAGCGTTAAGGGTGTTTATAGATCGTTTTTTTGAAAAAACCGATCCAAACCAAACCGAACCGCTTTATAAAAATGGATCGGTTAATCGATCTATTTTTTATAAAGTGGATCAGTTCGATTTTTTTAAATTATGGATCGATTTTTTTGAAATTGGATCGGTTCGGTGCAGTGCAGTTATCTATTTTTTACTCATATATGGATCGTTTTTTTAAAAAAATTGAACCGAACCGAATCGATCCACTTTGTAAAAATAAATCGGATAACTGAATCGGTTTTTTAAAGTGATTCGGTTCGGGTTTTTCTTAAAATAGAACAGATTTTTCAATACGGATTAGATCAATTATGGATCAGTTCGAATCAATTTACATTTTTTTTTCTACACCCCTAAGTAGCGTGTTACTAGGTAAAGGTTGGGAAAAAGGCTGGATACTACCAAAAATATTGTCACGAATATGGTGGACGGATGACGTGGTTGATTTTTATTTCATTCTTTAGTTTTTATTATTATTTAATTAATTAATTATCAATAAATAACAAATCAATACCGAGACTTCGTATCAATTCGATTCGTGCTGAAAATTTTGGTACCAACAAATACAGTACAATATTGCTGTACTAGTTAGATAAGCAGCCACGTTGTTTACAACAATTATTTTACAAAGACCAAATTATAAATGAAGTCTGTACTGAAACCACCAAACTTTTGCTTTCCATATTCTATGGTGTCACATATTCTTTGACGATGTGGTGGGTAACTTTGAAGATTTGTTGATTAACCTTAAAACCAATAGTGTTTTTTTCCCTTTAATTTATATCATCAACTATATGACCCAACTCCTATATAGATATGCTTGCTAATTCTTGGTTTATCAATTTTACTGAAAATACACAATTTTTTTTAAACATTTTATATCAAAATAAATAATGCTCTTTCAATCAAATTACGAAAAAATATTATTAGTGTGTTTGGATGATAAATTTGAGAAATTTAAAATTTTGATATTTGAATTATTTTGTTTTCAATTTCTATTATTCTTAAAATATTTTGTTTGAATAAATCAATTTAAATTTCTTAACTTTTAAATTCTAATTTGATTCTACATGATATAATTGATTTTAAAAATATTTTTATATGTCAATATTTTTAAATTAAATTTCATAAAAATAAATGTTAATCATTTTTTAAATATTTAATATTTTAAAAAATAATATTAAACAATATTTAATAATTTTAAAAATATTTTTGAATATCTAATAATTAAAAATATAAAGAGATAAGATAAAATATATACTATAATAAGAAAAAATATATAAAAAATTTCAAATCCTTACTTTTTTAAAGAGAATTTTAAATTCTATTATTGTAAGAAATTTTAGAGAAATACTTAGATTTCATTTTTTTTATAAATTCTCCATTCAAACAAAATATCTCACCTTAATAAATTTGAAATTTTTAAGTAAATGTGTTATTTCATTTAAATTTTCCATTCAAACACCTTATATATGCCTGAGCTATTTCATATTGCCATGTGTCACCTTGTACCGTAAACAATAATATCCAATAAAATGTCGTTGTTGCAGTCGATGAATGCTTCTATGGAGTAGGTCTCATTCTTCTTTTAATAATATATGCCCATGGTTGAACAAGTACGAGCAGGTGGATAATTTCATTAATTTATACGTGGCATGCTTTTGACAACAAAAAACAAAGCCACTCTTGGTGCTTTCCATACCTAATTCAAATTGCCATGTTGTTGGGAAAACCGAAATTTCACATGCTATTCTACGACTATATAAATGCATGTTTTAGATACCTCTAGTTAAGAAGCATCATCATCATAATAAGGCATAGTGTGAGTGAGAGAGAAAATCCTAGAATGAAGGGAGGTTCAATTGAAGTTGGTGAAGGTAGATCCCCAAGAAAAGGAGGGGCAAGAGGGTTATCTATAATGGACTTTGTTTTGAGAATTATTGCAGCTGTTGCAACACTAGGTAGTGCATTGGCCATGGGGACAACTAATGAGACTCTTCCCTTTGCCACACAATTTATAAGATTCAGGGCTGAATTTGATGACCTTCCCTCCTTTGTGTAAGTGGTGTTAAATTAATTATTCAGAAAAATGGTGATTTTCGAGTGTCTGAAATTTTTTTAGCAAAAGGGTGGCTAATGCATTGGGTGTGTGACCATGCAAATTTAATGCAGGTTTTTTGTGTTGGCCAACTCTGTTGTATGTGGCTATCTTGTGCTTTCACTTGTGTTATCTGTCTTCCACATAGTCAGGAGCACTGCTGTGAAAAGTAGGATTATCCTCATTGCTCTTGATACGGTAATAATACAAATTATCCTTGTCTATCACTAGTGATTTTTCTTGATAGAAGTAACAGTAACAAAATTTGAACATAAAATAGTGTATAGTACTTTCCAATCACTAGTAATGAGTATATAGGTTCTGACTTCTGATATGTATGCTCCAATATAAGCCAATCATTAAGTGGACTAATTTATTTTACTGATCAACTTGGTCCGACTCATTCACCTGTGGGCATATCCAAACTAGACTGATCCGTATACCACCTATATCTGTCACTAAGATAAAGTTTTGGATGCTGTGGCATATATTACAAGATTATCTTTCATATTTTCTACATTGAAGTTGATAGGAAAAAGCGTTAATATAGGATATTTAGTTTTTTTTTTCCTGCCACATGTATCCCTTAATCTACTTAGACCAAATGCATATTTTAAACCGCATTTATTAATCACATCCAACACAAACCATGTCAAATAACGTAGAAATTTGAAGGTACTTCTTTTAAATTTGCTTTTTACGTGACTTTCAGATCAGAGTTTATTTTAATGTGATGAGATATCAAAGAGACAGTAATCTCATTCGCAATATTAACAAATTTGTCATTAAAAATTGAACGCAAGTTTTCATTAAATAAATCGTCTTTACGATGTATGAGCACAATGTATAAAAATTAAACTCGGAATAAAAAAAAATGATCTTTTACTAACCAACTTCAAAATTAATTATTAGAATTTTAAATTGAAGAGTACATCACACAAAATGCGGCATCAAGTTGTGATTCCAGATAACATTGTCTGCAATTGGTCTGCAGCACGTGACTGCAACACAATCACAACAGTAATTTAAAATCAAGTGTCATTCTTTTCCATTTCTTGAGTAATTATGTTTATAAAAAGTACCATTTTAACTATATATTGATCAAGAAGATTCCAATCGCTCTAAATGCAATTCAACAAATAGCAGTTTACCATTTTACCTACAAGAAATGGTGATGTTACCCCATATTTTTGATATTGCCAAGGCTTTCTTATAAAGTTAGAGTTAATGTTGTAAAGGTAATGCTGGGTCTGGTCACAGCAGCAGCCTCTGCAGCAACATCCATAGTGTACATAGCACACAAAGGAAACGCAGGTGCCAATTGGTTTGCAATCTGCCAACAATACAACAACTTCTGTGAACGTATTTCGGGTTCCCTCATTGGCTCTTACATTGCTGTTGCTCTCTTCATCATACTAATCATCCTATCAGTCGTAGCAGTCTCTCGAAACTGATGTCATGTGTGTGCTTGTGCTCCAACTCTTTAATTATATATGTGCCATTTTCTTAATCATAGTGGGTTTGATAAAACATTGTGTTCATCAAAATTTTCCTAGTGTGTATTTCTCATTTGGTGTCAAAGTGTGTACAATTTTAAAATGTAAAATTTGTAGTTTTCTGTCTGTAATGCAATCAAATTTGTTATAGCAGTTCCTGACAAACATGTTGCACATTCTAATGAGCAATGACAGACATTTACATAATATGCTTGAACTTGGTGCTCTAATACATTCTATGTTCAATTCAGAATTAAAAAGAAGAAAGAAAAAAGTGACAGGACGTTTTATACCACAAAAATTAGAATCCCAAAGACAGTTATACCCTGCAGCTTCATCCTTGTGCTATGCTAGTATGGCCACAATTTGATCTATAGACTTCAATGTCTTCTCGTAGTACAGGTACGATTCGTACACCTTCGGGGTCCGAATATGCCGATCAAACTAAAGAAAATACAAACCAAAAACCACTTTGTAAGACAAATAATTTATTAAGCGAAAAAGTTGATCGTACTAAACAAACTAACACGTATCTCGTGTGTTTAGTAATAAGCATATAATCAGAGTCATATCCATGATCCGTCTTATTTAACTACACAAGTAAAAAGACATGCCACAAAATTATTCTTTTTTTAATAATTATATTATTATTACAAAATATTCATTGATTATGTCTAAGGTTAGTATTTACTACAAAATCTGACTCACGAGTTTTAAAGAGGTCTCTTTATTTCAAGTTTTTTTTTTTTCATATCTAAAAGACCAAAATTCTAAACTTTGTTTAGTTCAGTTATACTCAAACTAACAACTTATTGGTTATGAAGGATTGTAACTAGTTTTGAAGGTAACTTTTGTATTGTTTTTCGATCTAAATTAGAGTTTAATACTTTTACCTCAATGATTTATATTGGCCTTTAGATAAAACTTTCAATTCTGATCGAAGAACAAGACCAGAAATAAATAAGTAAGTGCATCTAAATTTGATTATAATGTGAAGTATACCTCTCCAAAGTTGGAGACCAACTCATTAGCAGTTTTGACATACTCCTTGCGTCGATTCTCAGGCAGAGTGGTGAAAGCAGTTCTCAAATCCTGGTCAAGATAGGCCTGCTTTATACGTATGTAGAACATGATGTACCTCCAAGACATGGTCTCCAACATCTCCCTAATGCTGTGAAGCCCCTCAGCAGTTTGCTTTATCCTGGCCACAGCGTCTTCAGGGGAGAGGCCTGGCTCAAAGAAATGCTCCCTGATGAAGGAGTGAGTGCCCCAGCTCTGTGCCAGTGCACTGTTCCCATGCACTCCCACCAGCACCGCTGCTGAAGTGCCCAGAAACGTTGACATCAGCTTCCTTCTGCTGCTCATGCTTACAACATTGCTTTGGTCTGCAGAGAAGGGTAAAGGGTTGGTCGTGTTGGAGGGTTTCTTGTGCTTGGTTTTGATGTGGGCATGGAGGAGTGTAGTGGCGTGTGTGAAGCTTGACATGGTTTTGGTTTGGATAATTTGGTTTAGGGGACGTAGGTAGATGTGCTTTGGGTGGTGAAGAGGGAATTTGGAGTCTTGAGTTTTCGGGCAGGGACAGTTTGCCTGACCGTGTTGCCCGAGATACGACATGTTTGGTTCCTTAACATTGTGCCATGTGGAACCGTTATCTTCTCGAGCTAGGGAAACCCCTTCCATCTGCATGTACTACTTGTATGGTTAAATTATGGTTTCGGTATTTTATTCACATTTCCAATTTTAAAATTGAAAATAATTTAAATAAAAAAATAATAAAAAAGAAAAAGGAAAGTTACATATGTGTTAAAACTTAAAACATAAATTCCCACGTTTTCATGCAAATATCATTTTTTTTCACCCCCTAAAATTGGGAATAAATGTAGAAAATATGGTTGACAAACTTTCTCCAGAATATAAATATAACCAAGAATGATTTCTCAAAACTTGTAATAAACATAAGAATGTTATATTCTCTTGTTTATATTCCTCGGAATGAATTTGTAATCCATGAATCAAGTGTATCTTAAGAACTCGAATAAGAATCTTTTATTGGGGATGACCTAAGTAATATATATGTGACAAGGACCAATAAATCTAATATTTTATGGTTATAGATTTTTGTTAAAAAATAATTAACAAATAAAACGTACTAGATGCATATCAAGAGTCCAATAACTCATGAAGTGATAAACATTAGATTCGAAAACTTTTAACAGAAGAATATGAAAATAATTAATAATAACTCTTAAATTAAAATAAATAATTTAAATTAAAAAAAATATAAATAAAATTATTATGTATTTACTATTTGTTGTCATTATCATAATTTTTTTAATCATTATTGTTAATATTTTTTATCACATTTACCTTCATTACACTTTCACTATATCACCACCACTTTTATTGTCATTACCACCATTATTATCGTTATTGTTATCGTCATCATTACTACTAGCATCGCCACTATAGTGGTAGTGGAGGAATGCAACGACTATAGTGATGTGGCAATAGTACAGTAGAGGTGGTGGTGATGATGATAATTACAACGTGAATAGGACAACAATAATATTGAGAACTATGATGGTTGTAATATGTCGTGACTTTATTTGTAATTTTTTAATTCAAATAATTTATTTTAATCTCAGTGTTATTATTAATTGTTCTTGTTTTCTCATATTAACAAGTGTTCTTACACGAATTGTTCATATATATATATACATATATATATATATATATATGTATATATAATGAAATTATTATTTCAACAAAGAAAATGAAATTGGCACAAACCAAAATAAGATTTTTAGGTCATGAAATATTTCAAGGAAAGATAACTCCAATAAAAAGAAGTAAAGAACTTGTTAATAAATTTCTAAATGAGATTAAAAAAAAAACAAAAATCAATTACAAAGATTTCTAGGAGCTTTGAATTATGTAGCTAATTTTATTCCTAAAATTAGAATTAACTATAAGCCATTGTTTAATAGAATTAGAGAAAATCCTAAACCTTGGACCCCAAAATTATCCAAAATAGTCCAAGAGGTCAAAACCTTAGCGAAGTCTATGTTTGTAACAATCTAGATACACTAGAATGAGAAGAATTCATATATTTGTACAAGTGTGAGATTATACAATTGAAGATGACTTAAAGAAATTAATTTGTATTACTTGCACCAACAAGATGCATCTACTTTTTGGTAGCTCATCACATAAGAACTCCATAGTTAAGCATGTGTTGACTTGGAGTGATTTAGGGATGAGTGACATTCTAGGAAATTTCTTAGAAAGTGTGCAAGTGAGGATAAAGCATGTTGAAAAGTCTTATTTTAGTTTGTGAGGACAATCATTAATTCTAAAGGCAGTTGAACGTCTCCGAAAGGGTTATCTACAAAGGGTTATAACTTGTGAAGGGTTCTAACTAACAAGGAATTATGTAAAATTTCACCATATGAAGTGTCATGGAATGGAGTCATTGAGATGTCAAATTTGAAGGATGTTACACTGTCTTGCATAGGAATACCTCATCCAGATGCTCCATAATTGTAGAGACTGATACTTCCAAATTAGGTTTTGGAGGAATTTTGAAACAAAAATTTAAGTACTACCCTTAGGCAAATAGTAAAATTTCTTTCCAAAGCATGGAATTAGAGCCAACTCAAATGTAGTACTATTAGAAAGGAAAATTTATCCATTAGTTTATGCATTACAAAATTTCAAAATGACTTGATAAACAAAAGACTTTTACTTCACATTGATTGCAAGTCAGCCAAAGAAGTTTTAGAGAAAGATGTTAAAAATATTATTTCAAAATAGATTTTTACTAGATGACAAAATTTGTTGTCTTGTTTTGATTTTGAAAAAAAAAATTATTAAAAAAATTATTCAATTTAAAACTTTTTAACTATAGAATTTTTGCATAGAATTGATTCTCGTAACTTCTTTGCCATCCAAGGGATTATCCTGAATGACTTTGCGTCTTCTATCTAAAAAATAATTACCGCTACTGGAAATGCCCAATAAACTACCTTTCCACATCAAAAAACAAAAAATTACCAAATTCCCTCACCACCCTTGGGTCTAACATGGGTAGGGATGACAAATAAACTCGTATCATAGGTAATACATAAAACCGTCTCGACTTTGACAGAAACTACCCAGTTTAATCGGGTATGAGTACAGATAAAACCCGATATATTAAATCGGGTACAGGTACAGATATATACTTATCCGCCTCGTCCCCATCCCTATACTGATTCTCATCCTCAGTTTAATATCCACCCCCGATTTAATTGTGTTAAAGAATTTTAATATTTAATTGTGTATGATTATTTATTATAATGTGAAACATTTATAGTTGTTTAATTACTAAGAAGTATCTTGTTTAAAATATGAAATAGACAAACAACCTAATTATAATTATAATATAATAGAAAAATAATTCAAAAATATTGTGTATTTTTTTGCAAAAATTTTTTAATATTTGACAGATACGGGTATATCCGGTACCCGATGGGGACAGGAATGGGATGAAATTTATATACCCGACAGGTACAGGCACAAAAATGGAGATGGGTTTGAACCACGGAACGGAAACGAATATCATGAAACACGTACCCGACCTGATCCGTTACTATCCCTAACCGTGGGTACAATCAACAAATTTTCTCCTTTAAATAATGATGGAGGACCATCCTTGGTACTTCATGTGAAACCCATCACATGGTTCATGGCTAGGAGAATGGAGAGATACCATGTATGGATCCATCTCCTAAGCCCAATTTGAGTAGTATAGAATTTTATTGCTTTATTCCAATTTTACCCTTGTACTTTGGGGTATTTTAGTCATAGAATTTATTTTACTTGTATTTCCAATTCTACCCTTGTATTTTGGGGTGTTTAGGACTTCGAATTTATTTTATTTTGCATTTCCCATTTTACCCTTGTATTATGGGGTGCTCTAGATGATTAGGGTTTTAATTTTGGGCTAGGGTGTTAAATTAGGGGGAGACGCATTTTTTTGGTGTTCTTAGACCTATTTTTGGTGCTAGAAAGGCTTAGGCCCAAGTGGAGGGCAAAAGTTGCATGGTCATATCATGCACCTAGATATAGCCAATCTAAACCCAAAGATTCTATCCTTGGCCACCAAGTTGCATCTAGGGTTAATTTGCATTTCATTTGGAGTGCATTTGCCTTGTGAATTTCGGCCATGCATCCTCCAAATGCAACCCTAGATGCCTCCCACTCCTATAAATACCCAATGCACCACACCTTGTAAATACTTTGGATTATATGATATTGAGTGAGCATTATTTGCCTCAACATCTCTTCCTTAGCCACTAGGTTAACTTCGGCTAACCACCTTCATTCTCCACCCTTGGAGAGTGAAACCCTAGAGTGGCCTCCACCTTCACTTGGAGTGAGCCAACCTTTGAGCACCATACACTTCCGCCACCCTACACCATCTCACGTCTATCATCCTTTGTCCACCTTAAACACTCATTTCCCTAACCTTTGGTGAGCCTAGATCATGGGCAAGGTGACTCTCGTCAACACACCATCTTCAACCATGGAAGGGAGGTCTCCATCAAGTGGTATCTAGAGCCAAGGTTTATCAACGGTAATATCTTGTCTTTCTTGTCTTCTTGATTGTCTTTTTTTCTATTCGGTCATTTCTCTCCTTCTTGTCATTTCTTGTGTGGCCGAATAGTTTTAGGCTCATACTTTGTTCCTTGTGAGCCTTCCTTGAATATTTTAGGTTTCCATTGTTAGGTGTTTTCATGCTTTTTCATTTTTAGGTTTGAGTCTCATATGAACATGCTTTTTGATTTTTGAATCTTTTAAGTTTTGTCAAGTCTTGTTTCCTATATTGTCTACAAAAATTCCATGTATGTATGCCAAACACATTGCATGAATACATGAACCAAAAATACCATGTTGCATGATATAAAGTGGGCGTGACATATAGATGCCATCTAGGAGTCATTCATGCATGCTATTTAGTCCTAGCATGTTCCTTGTATTTTTTTGAGTTTCCATGTGTAAAATGCTTCCTTGCACATGCATTTAAATTGCTGCCCACTTTTTCCTTGCATTTCCACTTGTTATGGTCTATATTTGATGATTGATAACCCTAAAAGAATCTAAGAGGTGTGCTGGAAATTTAGTACAAAACAACTTGTCCTAAATAGTACAAAACCAACTCCACTAAAAAGATTCCCTAAAACCCTCTAAGAACACGCCACTTGTCTCCTTTCTCTTTCTCCTACATTTGACCTAATTTCACCACCCACAAGTGCAAAACCTAAGCAACAAATGGGCTGAACATTAAAGAAAAGAAATTGGACCCAAGGAATATAAAAAAAAAATTGACGTGAAAAGAAAAGGAAGAAAAGAAAGAACAAAAAAAAATTGACCAAAAAGGACTTGTTGCTAGACTTGTGGGCTTGGACCTTTGCCTATGCTTTTGGGAGTTGGACTTAAGACCTTATTGACCTTATTGAACCTATTTTGAGACCTTAAGAGTGGCTGGACCGAATCATATAAAAGACTTAAGCAAGTGGACTAAACACTAATCCATTCTAGTGCCATTCTAGGATTACTCTTTTGTGTGCTTCCTTTTTAATTGTGTC